AAATTCCATCGAAAATTTCCTCGAAAGGGCTGGAAACGTACCAAACAGCAATCTTCACATTTTGGTTCGTGGTTCACGTCGTAAAACGGCGAACCGGCAGGTATGTCTTTACGGCACTTCTGACATTTGACCTGAAAATTCGTTCTATTTCGTTCCCATGGAAATGAAATAATAGATGATCAAATTCGAACAACAAATCTAGCACAGTCAAGTATGTTTCGCATCGCGCAGCTAGTAACGCGTGCACCAAGGAATGGCTTGTACCAAGGGAGGGCTCAGTCTAGTTATAATAGGAACTTCATCTCCTCGACCGGGAGACACATCGTGATCTGACCGTACGCGGTGAGCGACGTCCCTTAGCGTGTACCCGCCACAGTTTGCAGGGAGATTTTCCAGACAGGAGTCTTGTCCTGATGAAAAGTACACTAAATTCACATGGAGTACAGACCACTGTTGCCCCAACCACGAAAAGTGATCAAGTCCGATAGGTTTAAGTGAGACATCAGTTTTGTCCACAAAAGCATGAGGTGTTTCCCTGTTGAAAAATCGTGATTATCGTACTCGAGGAGTCAGGGCACCCTTGAGAAGGAACTTCAGGCAAGTTTGGTAGACAACTAATTTAGGGTTGGTGCCCGCGGAAGAGGAATATGTTTTTTGTCTTCGAAAGGTGACAAGTCTTTAGCCGAATCGTGATCTTTGCCCAAATCTCAGAAGAGGGTGAATTGCCGCAGAGTATACTCTAGAACCTATGGTGTATCGAGGTCGAGGAATGTAAAGTAGTATAGAATGATTGGGAAGGAAGCAGCCGGTGAGACAGTCGAGCGATCGAATCTGCGTGTACTGAGCTAAAGGCGCATTTTGCGATTAGTCATGATATTCAAACTCCTGTGAGGTGAAAAAAGGGTCACAATGTACAAGCTCACAGCATTTTTGTATCAGGAAGTTAGGTACTGTCAAGCGGAGGGTTCTCAAATGGCTATTCCTGAGGGCAAGTGGCATTATCCTACCTCGCTGTCTATCGCGTTGCTCGTTTGTGTGCTCCCTTGCGCCTCTTTCTCTTATATCTATTTCTCCAAGAAGACCATCTAGGCCCTATTATTTATAACTATTTTGACCGTTTCGTTTCTCTTCACGAGTGAATTGATAGCCTTTTCCTTTTAACTGTACTGCCTACGGCTTGTAATGGCAAAATATAATACGCCCTTATGTGCTCCTTCATGGTAAAATCATGGCCACGAAGAAGGCGGGGGGGAGGGG